CTTGCCATGAGGTGGACTCTGAGTATTGAGAAATGCTGCTGACTTGGGAAGGTTTTCTGCTTTATGTGCGAGGCTGCTTAAGGTTTTTTCGTGCTTTGGAATTTTTCAAAGGTTTTGAAAAATTTCAGTTAAGTACTACTCTCTCCTTTAAACTTTGTTTCCTTCTAGTCACCAAAGGGAGATGTGGTTGTGTAATTAGGTCATAAAATAGAGATCATTGGCATCTTCCCCAGGAGTCTTTACATGGAAGCAGAGTGCACGTTGGCAAGAGCCAGAGAGAACAAAGGAAGCTGAGAGGGTTTGTGTGGGAGCAGCATTCGTGCTTCCTGCCTGCCTCTGAGGCCATCAGGAGACACTGAAATAATTAAATACACTTGGGCTATATCAGTGGCTTAATTATATCCTTTTACCTCTGGACAACAAAAAGAGGGGGGTGGTGAGTAGAAAATCTTAGCTGGGCACAGGACAGGGAACCACAGATAAAGAAAAGAAGCAATCACGTTTCCCTATTTGTTTATGAAAATAAAGTGTTACCAAGGACTAAAGAGTCGCTTTTCATTATAGGCAGACATTATTTGTGGTGCTGTGAATTCTTTTTCCAACTAGGATTCATAACATCATAGGGTGATACAGCATTAAGATGTCTTTCTTCAAAAGAAGCCAATGAGAGATTATTGCTTTCTAATTTGATTTGATGTTGGATATAATAAGTCCTTTGGGAGAGAAATGTTTTTTTTAATGTAAATACTTTTTTTGATTTTTCTCATTTGATCTCTGTCTTCCCCGCTCCCTACATTTAGCTACTGCTCCCCTCTCCCAATTTGATATAATGAGCACTGCTTTTTGCTGGCAGAGACCATACCTTAGTTACTGTGGGCAAATGAACATCAATTTTTTTTTTGTTCCTTTTTTTTTTGGTCTAGCAACAATGAATGCTTTTCTTGAAAAAGTCTCTCAAAGTTGCATGTTCTCATTATAACCCAGACAGCCTAAATAATTAGATGAATTTTATACATAATCAGGGAGTGACCAGAAATTTCACAGGTGACTAAGTTACTGATTACTTTGCAGAATTAGAAGCCAAGTCTTAACTGGTAAATACACTCAGGGAAATCTTGAGTTTGCTCTGGGTGGAGTGATGTTCTCTTTTTCACATAGCACTTAGTTTTAGTCTATCACTGAAGTGGCTTGAGTAATTTGTCATGTGCTCCTGTGGGATGACTTTTTCTTTCTCACTATTTCATGTATTTCTATAACTTCATGGTTTTCTGAACTAACATTCCTTGGAACATATTTCAGTCTGTAGGGTTATTAAGAATCAAAGCTGTGCTGTACATTTTTTAAAAATTGACTGAACCAAAGGCTTCATGTAGTGAGTTATTGAACTGTGGAATGAATAAAATGGAGATTGTTGAGCTGTGGAATTACTAGAATGGAAATTGCCGTCGTCAAGTATCAGTGACTTCAACTGTCTTTGCTTCTTATGGGGAACAAATATTTGCTTTGCATCTGGGTGAAGGAAAAGTTTCACATGAATGCATGCTTGGTCATCATAATCCACGAGTCTCTTTCACCCTACCCCTTCACTGCCTGCCCCCCAACCCCCATCTTTAGACACCTGGGTCTTCCCATTGGCAGCAAGCTCTTAGAGCCGTAACCCTGTTCTTCTGGTGGGACCGGCTCTGCTGACAGGGCTTTTTCCACCAAGGGAATGAGTCACGGTTTATCAAAAGCCTTGCCAAACAATTTTATATATTTTTTAAAAGCTTCAGAAGAATTTTTGTTTTGTCCAGGTTCAGACTGACAGGGCTGGGAAATTAGAGAAGATTGAGGTTTCTCCATCA